GTAAAGTCGAACACTCTCCCTTCGCCCTCTAACAAAACCCACGCGCTCTGTGTTTTCTGGGTCATCAGTGCCGCTTCGCGTTCTCGGTTGTCGAGTCTCTAAGGTTCGGATTCTTCGGACTTCCGACTTTTGCCCTTTTAGTGTTTGCAGGCAATTACCTGGGAGAGCCAGGTAGCTCTCCCTCTGCCCTGAGTGCTAACTCCAGCTCTGCCTAGAGTACGGGGTTCAGACACCCTTCTCAAGGGGGCTTTGCCGAACCTCAAAGCCTGGCTGCCCTCACTCCTTTATTTTGCCCTAACCCTTTGTGGATGTCACTTTCCCACTGAACCGGGGGCTTTTGCGGTTGTGACTGACAGTTGTAGCCCCTAGGGCTGTGGTTCTGGAAATTGACAACATGTCAGAATCATTAGTACTTAATTAAAAGCCAACTAATTCAGAATCTCCAGGGAGTGGAGACCCAGGCAAAGCATCTTTAAAACGTGGCAGTTCTCAAACTTTTAATCTGCAAACTGCTCGCCCGGGGACCTCCTTAAACTGCAAAGTCTGCTCAGTGAAAACTAGCTAAAGCCGGAGAATATGCCTTTCCAACAAGGTCTGATGATCGCCACTTTGCTGAAGCACCTCAAGGTCGTCCCTCTCCCTCTCCCCCTCCCCGCACCTCGTCCCTCTCCCCGCAAGTCAGCCTTACTTATACCCTGATTCAGGGTTCCATCTTAAGCTCACAAATTGTTACTGAACCCAGGACACTTCCTTCAAATCCTGCGAGCTCTATCTGCCACCATGATTTTAGGTTTTCCCATAAGTGCATCCCCGCTCTGTCTTGTTCTTGTGTTTATGCTAATCTCCCTGGCAACAGAATACAATGGAAGACAGAGGACTGTGAGGACAAGAGGGCAAAGGTCACTGATGCTCCTTGGCTTCTGAGTATGGATCTTATGGTTCCCTTCATTGCTGCCTCAGCCCTGGTCTCTTTCCTTGCTGGCTCTTGCCATCTTCTGTGTCCCAGAGACCACTTCCTAAATATAATCCCAGCAGCACAGACACTGAGAGAAACAATTAATAAATGGGACCTCCTGAAACTGAAAAGCTTCTGTAAAACAAAGGACACTGTCAAAAGGACAAAACGACAGCCTACAGCATGGGAAAAGATCTTCACCAACCCACATCAGACAGAGGACTGATCTCCAAAATATACAAAGAACTCAAGAAATTGGTCATCACAAGAACAAATAGTCCAATAAAAAAAAATGGGGTACAGACCTAAACAGAGAACTCTCAATGAAGGAATCTAAAATGGCTGAAAGACACTTAAGGAAATGCTCAACATCCTTAGTCACCAGAGAAATGCAAATCAAAACAACTCTGAGATTCCATCTTACACCTGTCAGAATGGCCAAGATCAAAAACACTGATGACAGCTTATGCTGGAGAGGATGTGGGGTCAAGGGAACACTCCTGCATTGCTGGTGGGAGTGCAAGCTGGTCCAGCCACTTTGGAGATCAGTCCCTCTTCGCTCTCTATCTTCAGCCTCACATTTTCATTCCTTCCCTACTGTCCCTGTGACTCGCTTTGAACAGATCAACACAAATACAAGCAAATGTCCACACGGGGAAATCTTTTCCTTCCACTTTAAGTACCGCTTGTTTAAGTTCAGGCCTCTTCCTCAGTAAGTTCTTCTGTCTTTTCACATGTGGATCAGATCCATCTCTTTAGTTTTAAGCAAAGCTCCGGAAGGCTCTGAATTACTGCCGGCCGCACTAATGACACCATTAAAGGTTGTCTTACAGCCTTTGAGTAGGTTCACACATCAACTAAACTACAGTCAGTGACTCCCAGAGCTCGCACCGAGGTAGCCTGGGTGTTGCAGGGCACTCAGCAGGAGAGAGGGTACAATGTCATGGCCCTATGGCAACCCACCAATTTGCCATACTACCTCAAGGCAGTTCACAGAGTTTACAGAAGGGGGCACTATATTCCTTTTGATGATGTCATACTGAGGGCTGGGATTCCTCTTAGTGGTTGAGACTGGAAGCCTCTACAGCTCAAATGCCAGGGTAGAAAGAGCAGCTAGGGGGTGAAATCCAGTCTGTTTGAGGTCTTCAAAGCCATGTCAGTGATTGTGATTAAGGATGAAATAAAAACCCTAGTTTTTGTTAACTTATCTGTATTATCCCTTCAAAGGGTTAGGGAGCTGTTAGAAGAGAAATTTTTATTGAGTTGTTTTAGTCCAACTATTTACTACACGAGACCAGTAGATACTTGTTTCTTTCCAAGGCCAGCCCGAGACACAGCGCTGTGACCTGAGAGAACTTTGGAATCTCTGCCTTAGTCCAGTGTTTTTCCTCTAAGGTTCCCAGACACAATTTGTCTGGCATAGTCTCCCCGTCTGTCTTTTCTTCCTAGTTAGTGTAAGTTAAAAGCTGTCCCGTGTGTTGTCACACTGAAGGTCCACTGTGTGTCTCCCCTTCTTTTGCTTTTCTTTCTTTTGGAGATTTTATTTTGGGGTGTGGGGAGTGGGATTGAACCTGGGGCCTTGACATGTTAGACAAGCACCCTACCACTGAGCTTACCTCCCCTGCTTTTCTTCTGTCTTTTGGAAAATTTATTCTTATTTTCTTCTACTTTTAATTAGAATAAAAAGCTACTTGTCTGTTGGCATCGCATTGCGGCAGAGACAGATTTGGGAAGCTTTGCCGCCTCAACAGTTTGAGAACGACTCCTGCATCCCCTGCAGCAGCACTGGCTGGAAGGGCAACGTCAGTTTATGTTTTTGACCTTTTTTTTTTCCTCTCTAGCTAATATTCCCTCAAGTATTATGACTTCAAGGAGGAGGAGGGTCAACAGAAAGGGAAGATGACAAAGAGGGTGAGAAAGGGAACTGTGTCTTGCTGCCAATAGACTATCCAGATGCAGCGCTTGTGGGCAAAGCCATGGTTGTGGAGGGGGTTTTGCCATTAATTGGCACGTTTTCCCGCCACTGGCATTACCTTATTTTGCTTCTGTGGTGTGAGTGGTGGGATAAAACTCAATATTCTGCTTCCCTTCATTATACATAGATTAGTAGGGCGTGTCCAATGAGGGTCTCAACAATTTTACTGCGCATTGGCCAATAGTGTTCGCTAGTGTTCCCCTGTAACTCCAGCTTGTGTGTGTGTGTGTGTGTGTGTGTGTGTGTATGTGTGTGTGTGTGTGTGTATGTGTGTGTGTGTGTGTGTGTGTGTACAGTTGCCTAAACTTCCCAGGTGAAGAAACCAAAGCCCTGAAGGCTCATTTACCCCCTCAGGGTCAGGGCAATGGTCAGTTTTGTGGCACAGTTTTGGGTCTGTACATCCATAGCTGGCAACTTTCCTCCAAGGCTCTTCCCCCTATCACAATTATAATCATAAAACCCACTCTTGCACGTTTTTATCCCATTGCTGCTTCCACCGTCCTGGACTTCGGGACTCCGTGGTATTATTGAAATAAGATGGAATCAGTATTTGGGAAGAAAAAGAAAGCGGGGGAGGGGATTTCAATCATTTTGACAAAGTGCTTTTTAAAACTTAATCTTCTATGGTAATAATGCTATTTGCATTGTGAAAGTGCTTCAAAGATTTAAAAAAAAACTATTACTCTATTAACACAGTGGTGTCAAGTGGCACAGAGGAAATGAAGTATGAGCAGGGGAAGTTTCTTCCCTCAGTGGTCCCAGCAGGTGTGAGTTGCAAAGCAAATTGGTGACAAGATCCTTGGGGCAGCAGTGTTGCCGTTCACTGGGTCTCTGGGTATTTTTTTCTCTCTGACTTTTTTTTCCACATTAATAATTCACTGCACTGGAACATTGCCTGGCTACCTCAACCCAAGCCTCCTTCATGTATAGTGGTAAATACTCCAGGAGGATATTTGCACAGAGTTATTCGGGGAGATTTGATCACAGATTAAAATGTGAACACGCAGCCTTGGGAACCTGCACAATTTATGCCATTTGCATGATATCCTGATGAAGGTGGCTCCAAATCAATCACAGGCAAGGGCATCTTAGCATCTATATTTTTTAATGTTCATTCTCAGTTTAAGAGATGTGTGACAATTACTTTCTTCTCCATCCCAGCTCATGAAATGCAGAATCTACAGGCTAGGTACTGGCTACCCTGGCTTGTCTTTTATATCTTTGCCCAGGTCAAATTTTCTTCAGCAAGAAAGCTGGTGACAAGAGTGGCTGACACATCTTGTGACAGCTGAAGGAGGCTGCCTCTCCGAGTGAGTTCCAGGACCTCGCTCCTCTCTCTGCTTCCTAGTCAATACAATGGTCGGACCTCGTTACCTAGAAATAACACCTTTGTGTATCATGAATCTTTCATCAGCCTTGCTACAGTTAAATCCTAAGAATTTAAGACGCCGGGTTCTGGCCAATTATCTGGGATAAGCCTAACCGGTTCCGCTTGTACCAACAGTAACTTCTAGAACTAACCTCTGGGGTTCCACTTGTACCAACAGTAACTTCTAGAACTAACCTCTGGGGATGAGTCTGGCCAAGGAAAGTGGCTTCTGTTTGGAGGGCAAAGGGTGCTGGGAGAAACAGAGTTAGGAAGTAGTTAAAGGGACTCAGGCTCAGAATGCTTGCTTTCAAATTGAGAAAAAGGACTTGCTCTCCTTACAGCAAAATCGCTCTCTTTCTATTTTTAATAAACCCTACTTTACAGACTAGCTGGACCCCATTTTTCCAGTTTAAGTAAAAAATTAAAGGATTTATGATAATCCTCTGTGGATGGTTGTGGGCGGTTCGTTTTCCACCTGAGCCTTCTCTTCTGTTGCACTGCTAATATTTCTCAGCTTCTTGCTACACTTTCATCCGGCAACTACTCAAGCGAGGAGAAAAAAAAAAAACAAAACAGTCTTACCAGATAAGCAACAATTCATACTGTATTGGGGAATAGTTTACACCTTCCTGTCTATTTCTTAGCAGTAACTTCTTTGGACTTTTAAGCTTAGACTGTCAAAGCACCCAAAGGAATCCTACCTTGCCCACGTACTGATAATCGGATCCTGTGTATTCCTCCAGGAGGAAGAACTGATTCCACATCCAGCTTCTTTTCGAACGGCTCAGCTCATTCCTGCTGTTCGCAGAGAGCTCCAGGGCCCTCCTCTTTGCTGGGAAGTCACTAGTCCTTTTAGATAATGGGCTTGAGGAAGTTGGATAGGGCTGGCCAACCCAAAAGAGCAGCAAGAAGTACGGATAAGTTCTCATGATGATCGATGGCAAGGCAGGCACGCGAGACTTTGGGTAGCGAGTTCCCCTTTCCTTAATGCGCCTCTTTTCACTGCACTGGATCCAGGCTCATTCCTCCCCTCTTCCTTAATGTACTTTGCTTGGCGCACAGAAAGTATCTGGAAAGAATAATAACATATCAAGCAGTTTTAGAGATGCTTAAAATTCAGTGTTAGAGCAAATAGGCAGGAAAAAAAAAAGAGCACAGGAATTTGAATAGCAAAATAACAACAAAAAAAGTTAGCTATCAATTCTGAAAGAAGGAAAGCAGTCTTTCTGGGCACGCAGAATGGGATATGCAGAAAGGGAGGCGCAGACCCAGCAGGAAATGCTCTCTCTGTTTTTCCTTTTATATCTCTTACAGATCCGACTTTAAGTAATAGCTTCGCTAGAGTTCAACGCACCACGATGGATCATTTCACTACTCGTTTGCTTCGGAATATGTGGGCCGGGATCTCCTTAGAAGCAACGCGCTTGCGTTTCTGATTCTATTTGCATATTTATCTCCACGAGCAAGTCCAAGGCAAAGAATACCATAGACAATTTAAATTCAATTGGAAGTGGATCATTTGGAAAACTCCCTGGAGTGCACCGGGCACCTGCAATGTGCCAGGCAGGAGGCGAGGCAGAATGTACTCCTCAGACACTTGGCTGTGGAGATGTGCTCTGATGGATCAGCCGGGTCAAATAAGGCTGGAAGACACGAAACGCCTTCTCTTCAAAAATGCAGATTTGCTGAGGGAAGTTTCTGGAGTGATATATTTTTTTACATTGGTGTTAGCAAGCTTATATTTAATCCAAAAACTTTGCAAAGTAGACCCCACCCCCAAACTATGACACCTATTTACTCTATGAAAAAAATATATAGAATTTATATTTAAGAACCCTGAAATGTACTTTATGAAATGTACAAATTGTCATGTGCTGTTTGAGCTCATTGAGAAACTTGCTTTAGAAATTTAGTTGTCTCAGACTGTCACTGAAGAGCCCTTGTCTGGGCACAGGCTGCCCCCTTAACTCTGTGACAGGGAAGAAAGAGACCAGAAAAACAGCCCAAGAGTTGGTGCGGGAGAATTGTCTGTATTATATCAATCGTCAATTGTGTTTTAAGTAAACGCTGATTGGCCAGACAGGAAGTATAGACGGGTAAACCAGACAGGAAGTAGAACAGGAGAATGCTGGAAAGGAGGAAGCCTAGTCCTCACCAGTCCAGCCCAGACCACCAAAGAAGCAACATGTGATCTGCCCTGCTATGAAAGGTACCGAGCCATGTGGCTAACATAGATAAGAATAATGGGTTAATATAAGCTACAAGAGCTAATAAGAAGACTGAGCTAATGGGCCAATCAGTTTTATAACTTATGGAGTTCTCTGTGTGATTTTCTCTGGGACTTGTTGGCTGTGGGAACTGGGCAGGACAGAAACCCCAACAAGCTGGCCCTCATGTTACAGCTCACAAATACCAGTCTATTATCCCATCACTCCAAGAGAGCAGCTATAAGGTGAGCCATTTCCACCTGAGGTGACTATCGTCTGCTCCATGCCTGGAAATCGCTAATAGTGGAAACCGGAAGTTGGACGTTGAGCTGTGAGATGCTCATCCATGGGGAGAAAGCTCAGTTGGGAACTCCAGCCGGCTACCTCAACATCTCCAGTCAATTTTTGCCGGATGTTATAAACCCTGATTTGATGGCCTTGCATTTGCTCTCAGGATACTCTAGTCCTCTCTGCTGGATGCTGCCAGTTTCTGATTTGATGACACTTTGACCTCTATCTGCTGTTTCTACTTGCTGTTTACTCTTTTATGTCTGTTTGCGATATACTTAGTGAACTCACTCATGTGTAAACAAAAGGATGGTTATGGTAGATCATCTTCCAGATCACACAGAATAATCTTGTAAGAGACAAGAAAGTAATATTCCAATTTCCTTAGGAAATCCTTGAATTGTGTCTTTAAATTTCCCTTGTGTTATCAACAATCAAATTCCTCAAATAGTTTCTGATTATCCCAAACACACTAAGCATATCCCAGTATCACAGCAAGGACCACTGACTGTGAGATTTTTGGAAAAGTCAGCTATTAAAACAATGTGGGTAATTATTTTCCATGGCAAATATTAATTTTCAGGAACACAACCTATTATTTAAAAAATCCTGGAGCCAGACTCTTGGCAAAGATGTCCAGTTTGAGTCAATGGCTTATGTTATTAAAGTCACACATGCCACATCTCCTTCCCACACTCTCCTCCTGCCTTGACCTCTAAAGGGTGCTGGCATTACAGTCCTGCCCCGCCATGTCTGGCCTACCTTCCCTGAAAAAAAAAAAAAAAAGAATTTAATGAATTCAACAGATGACACATTTATCATACTACTTGGATATTTTCTTGAATAATGTACCAATAGGTACAAGAACATCACAATGGTCGTTGGGTGAGAACATCATCTTTGAACCACACAGATAAACACTGCAGGTTATTGGTACAGTGTTTTTGTTTCCCCTTGATCCCTAGCATCCCATCACAGGAATGAATATAGCTGACAAGGATTTTTAACTTTGTGGTGTTGCTTTTCACCCTAGTCGTGAGTAATTATAGACATTTGCCATGGTCCTGAAAGCGTTCTATTGGGAGGGAGGTGAAATATTCCATCATCTTCAGCACTTCCAAAATTTTATTCCATTATTATGCATCTTCCTGACAGCAGGCTGGGGAAGTTGAAAGTTCCACAGGTGACAGAGTTTGCGCTGTGACTATTAGTCAACCTGGAGAAATGCCAGGCCACAGTACCCTCGCTGGGCCTCAGCCTCAGCATAGGGGCAGGATGACCAGCTCGCTGTTAGGTGGGAATGACTCCTCCTTCCCTTGTTGGTGGGAGGGAAGAGACTGAGAGAGCATGTGGAGAAAAGCTCCCCAGAGACACTTACTCATTTTTAGAAAGAGAGATTACACTAAGGTTGATTCAGTGAAAATTACATTTTTCTTAATTTCCCACATTCACCATTCTTTGCAGAGACGAATCCTGCAGTGAGGAATTACATGTCTGCTGCTCTGCTCTGCGTGTGCCCCGTGGCGCTGGCAGGGGAGGGGGCTGCAGAGAATGGAGGTGTCAGCTCCAGAAAAGCCAGCTCCTAAAGGCCATTTTAAAGAAAAATCGATCCCTGTGGGCGTTGTATGCAAACTCTGCAAGCTGTTGCCACTTGAATATTAAATATTAGTTCTTTTTTTAATACCACAGATACCAAAATGTCAAGTATTTCATTTTTTTCCTTAGTTAGGAATGAGCTTTTAAAGTGATGCAAATTTAAGCAGTTTCCATGTTCACTGTAATGTTGGTATCGCTTTAATCCAGTTCCTGGATCCATCTGACAGGCGGAGACCTAATGAAAAACTCACTATGCAAACCAGAATGACAACGATCTGCTCCTACTTGATGTTAGTGTTTTAGAAGCGTATATTTCCATGTAAATTAATCTCTACGAATTTGGAAAAGTTAGGCGTCATTTCATTTGACCTCAGTTTTTCTTTTTCTTTTGTTCTTGGGGTTATTTTAGTATCTGCTCCACAGAGGAGCAGTTTGAGGAGCAAACAAGTCATTGTGTGCAGAGAACCTGAAATGGTGCCTGACACTTACACATGCATTGCTAAATACTATTATTATTTTTGTTAATGCCGTTTGTATTGCAACCACAGATCCAAATATAACACACTGGACAGAGTCTGAAGATGGTCAGGTCCCTCTTAGAACTAAATGTTTTCCCGTTGTCCAGAAAACACCTCCAAGCAAGTCAGAATTCTTTCAAAATTCAAGAGTAGAAACACTTGAGAATCTCGTTAGACCCATTTGTTAATTGTTCACCTTTGGGTGGCGTTCAAGTCATCTCTGACAGTTATGGTACAGGAAGAGGAAGCAAATGTATCCTATCCGGATGGCCACTGCTCACGCAAAGGAAGGGAACATGGAAAAGCAGAGTGCACTAGGGGAGCCACACATTCATAGAACATGTGGTTTTTCTTCCTGTCCATCTTACAATTTAAGATTAAAATGGAATCTTTACTTTATTCCAGTATAAAAAAATACCAGAGCCACCTTCAACTTGGTTTTGGCTTTGTACAAACGCTCCTGGTAATCAGCATGCTGACACGATTCTCAGGTAGTGTTAGATAAGAATTTGATATAACGAGAACGAATGCTATTTACATTTTAGATTTTATCTAATCCAAAATTATCAAGTGGGGGAAAAAACTGAACGCACTTCAAACCCATGTCTTTAACGTACAACAGCAATAACAATAGCAACTACCTCCCCAGGGTTCAAGGTGTTGAAGGTCAGGGATTCAGGCACAGAAGTGCTGAAAATCATTAGAACTTTGAGGCGCGTGGGAGGCTGGGCATTCCTGAGCAGTGGAGATAGGAGAGAAGCATGTGACCCACACTAATGGATGTAAGGCTCACTCTGTACTTTACCGAAGTCAGCCAGAAGGACAAAGGACTGAGGACATGCACCCATACTGGATTTTAAGATTGCAAGCATGGTGTTCAATCAGGAAAGAGCCAGAAGAGAGATGGTGGGAGGGGCCGGCTCAATAAAGTAGAGGCTGGGCCAATGTAATACCCTTGTTCTTCCTTTTGTGCCTGCTGGCAGCAAGAGCAAATGAGCTAGGTGCACAAACAGTGCCATAAAAACTCAAATTGAACTGTCTAATTACAGTTGAACGGTAGCTTACGAAGACCCTGACTCTACTTTGGATTTTCTTTTGGGAGCAAACTTGCTTTTTCTTACAGGCGATTGTTGTAATCTCTGAACGTTGGTTTGTAAATGTGCATAAATCCAGAGAAACAGTTTGAATCGCCTAGAAGCTTTATTAGAGTGACATGCAGAAGGTAATTACGATGTTTATGTATAGTAGGGCAAGACCCCCCTGTAACGTTAGTAATTGCATATATGGAGACTGTATTTGCCCAGAAGACAATATGAACTTCAGTTGTCATAAGAATACTTAGTCAAGGCGGCTGAAGTGATGGCCCAGTGGTTAAGAGCACTGGCTGCTCTTCCAGAGGACCCAGGTTCAATTCCAACCACCCACATGGCAGCTCGTAACTGTCTGTGGCTCCAGTTCCA